CCTGTTATTTTTCCCCTCTTCGTCTCCTTCCTCTTTCCGGCTCTCCCGCTCTCCCCTCTTCGTCTCTCCCCTTTTCACCCCTTCCCCCCCTCCACCAGCTCCCTCAGGTCACTCCTCCCCCTTTCCCTTCCCCTCCATCAGTCCTTCCCCTCCCTCCGGCTGCCCTCCATTTTCCCCTCTTTGCGCCCACCCCTCTCCCCCTTCCTCCCTTCTACCCTTCTCCCCCTCCTCCCCTCTCCTCTTCCTCCTCCCTCCCTCCCCCATACCCTTACTCCCTACCCTTCTTCTCTCCCTTCCCCCCTCTCCTGCCTCCCTTCCTCCCCCATACCCTTACTCCCTACCCTCTTCCTCCCTCCCCCCTCCCTCCCTCCTCTCCCCTACCGCTCTCCTCTCCCCTTCTCCCCCTCCCCCCCCACCCCGCTCTCTCTCCTCTCCACCCTTCCTCTCCCCCTAACCCCTCCTCCCCCCCACCTTGCTCCTCTCCCCTACCAACCCCTCTCCTTCCTCCCCCCCCCTCCTCCCCCTCTCCCCCCACCCCTCTTGTCTGTCAAGCTCCGGCGACGGAAGTTCTGGCTGGAACAATGGCCTTTATCGCCTCAGCTGATAGTTCACCGGAGGGAGTCCAGTCCTGTTTTCTTTCTTTTTTTTATTTCTATTTCTCTTTTTTTTCTTCTTTCTTTCTTTCTTTCTTTAGTTCATTTTCTTTCGGTATTTTTTTTCTTTTTTCTTTTTTGTTTCTTTTTTCGTCTTTTGTTTTTCTTTATTTTTTCTTTCTTCTTTTGTTTTTAGTCTTTCTATTATTCATTCTTTCTTTTCGTTCTTTTCTTTTTTTCGCTCTTTTATTCTTTCTTTCTTTTTTTTTTTTTTTTTTTTTTCTTTTTTGGTTTTCTTTTATTCTTCCTTCTTCTCGTTCATTTTCCTTTTTTTCTTTCTTTTTCTTTCTCACTTTCATTCTTTCTCTTTCTTAGAGAGTGGGGTATTGGGGTAGGAGCAGTGGGTAGGGAGGAGGGATCGGAGTGGGGGGGAAAGAAGGACAAGGGGGGAGGGTGTGTTAGGTCTTTACCCCCCCCCCCTTCCCGTCTAATTTTTTTTTTCTTTCTTTTCTTTACATTCTTGCCTTCCTTTGTTTTCGAAATGTTTTTTGGGAACAGCCTCGTTCGATGATGACTTCCGGTGTGAATAAATTAATGTGTTTTCATAATGGGGAGAATGAAGTCATCGTTAGTTTGTTTGTTTTGTTGTTTTTCTTCAGATTTTATGTTGTTGTTCGTGTTGTGCTGTTTTTTTATAAGATCTTTTTTTGTTTATGATTTTATTGTTGTTAACATTGTTATCATTATATATTTACAGAAACTACTTAGTTTATCTTAAACACACACACACACACACACACACACACACACACACACACACACACACACACACACACACACACACACACACACACACACACACACACACACACACCACACACACATAAATACATATATATATATATATATATATATATATATATATTATATATATATATATACATACATACATTACATATAGTTCTGACCCCCTCCCCCCCCCCTTGTTCTCCCCCCCTCTGACCCCCGCCCCTCCCCCCGCAGAGACGACGAGGAGCAGGCCCCGGCCAGCAGCGGGGCGAGCGTGAAGGCCAGGCTCATCAAACGGGGCCGCATCACCGCCACCGCCGGAGGAGTGCCTCAGAGGGCGTCCGTGTCGGTCAAGAGGCCCCTGGACCTCGTGCTGCCCTGCCAGGAGATCCAGTACCTCGACATTTCCTACCAGAAGGTCGGGACAGTCACGGTAAGGCCAGCCGGAGTTTGAGTTTCGTGTTTCCTTCGCTTTGGAATGGCGTGGAATGGGCGTGTGTGTGTGTGTGTGTGTGTGTGTGTGTGTGTGTGTGTGTGTGTGTGTGTGTGTGTGTATGTGCGTGTGTGATGTGTGTGTGTGTGTGTGTGTGTGTGTGTGTGTGTGTGTGTGTGTGTGTGTGTGTGTGTGTGTGTGTGTGTGTGTGTGTGTGTGTGTGTGTGTGTGTGTGTGTGTGTGTGTGTGTGTGTGTGTGTGTGTGTGTGTGTGTGTGTGTGTGTGTAATGTACATATAATACACGTATACAAATATATATATATATATATATATATATATATATATATATATATATATATATGTATGTATGTATGCATGTATGTATGTATGTATATATACATATACAATTATGAAAGTGGCATGCTAAACCCTGTTGCTTCTAAGCGTCTATTGTATGTTACTAATTATCTGCCATTATTATTTTTAATATTGAAAATAAATAATTGCTTGATTCTAGCATGTTTCATGATGATATAATGGCTGTTTATGATGCCTTTGATTGATTTAATTCAGAGCCTGATAAGCAAGCAAAGAGTTTGATATTTTTGTTTATGTGTTAATCTCATAAAATTTGCATTTGTTTGCCTTTAAATAATTTCTTGGCACATTATCAATACTAATGCTAAGTGATGAAGCCCCCCCCCCTCCCTCCTCCCCTTAAATCCTGGCCTTATGAACGATAATTAAGAAAAAAAAAAAAAAAAAACAGCATGGAGCTTAGCATGTCCGAAAAAAATGCTTGCCCTCCCCCCCCCTCAAGTCTTGCTCTCACGTACCAAAGCACTCGACAAAGGGTACTTGCTGCATTATTCTCACGAAGGAGAAAAAAGACTACTCCAGTTCCCTGATTTCCCTCACTCCAAAAAGCTATCCCAGTACCTCCCGTCTCACTTCAGAAAGCTACCCCACTCCCCCCACTCCAAAAAAGGGTACACTAGTACCCCCCACTCCAAAAAAGGCTACCTTACTCCCCCACTCAAAAAGGTACCCTCCCCCCCCCCACTCCAAAAAGGGCTACCCCAGTACCCCCACTCCAAAAAGGCTACACCCTCCCACTCCACCCCCCAAAAAAAAGGCTACTCCAGCCCCTGTCCCCCCCACCCACACCCCCTGTATCCCCCCACACCCGCGCCCCTCCCAAGCCCGAACAACTTCCTCGACTAATCACACGTTCGCGCCTTACCCCGCAGCACATCCTCCCACAGGTGCAGTTCAGCCCCATCCCGCGCAAGAAGATCGCCTACCACCCGGTCCTGCACAACTCCATCCACTACTGCGACGTCCCCTACTGCGGCACGGGCGAGAGGCCGGTCAAGCGGAAGCCCCTGCAGCGGTCTCACTCCATCGCCGTCGCCGACCTGAGGGAGAGAGTGGACTGCGAGTGGACCTCTTCGTATAAGCTCAGGTGAGGGAAGGGAGAGAGGGAGGGGGGAGAGGAGAGAAGGAGAAGGAGGGGAAGGGGGTGAAGGGGAGAGGAAAAGGAAAGGAAGGGAGAAGGAGGAAAGTAGGGAAGGGGAAGGAGGGAGGAGGGAGGGGAGGGAGAGGGAGGGAGGGAGGAGAGGGGGGAGAGGGAGGGGAGGGGAGGAGGAGGAGAGAGAGAGAGAGAGAGAGAGAGAAGAGAGAGAGAGAGAGAGAGAGAAGAGAGAGAGAGAGAGAGGAGAGAGAGAGAGAGAGAGAGAGGAGATTAAGAAATATACAATAAAAAAAAAAAAACAGATCCCAAGCTCATGCATGACAATTTCACAAGACGTGGCTTATTCAGACCCTCATCGGAACGCCTCGAGTTTCCTGCAAAAGCCACCGGATCAGTTTACGTTTCAGAGTCACATAATCTCCCCTCCCCCCCCCCCCCCTGTCATTGTCTTTGTTCAGGCGAGAAACAACACCAATGCGTGGCTTTTCTCAGAAGTTTGTGGTTCGCTGAGGAACTACCTTCCCACAGATTTACCAACCGAGGACTGATCACCTTACCAGCGAATCAAAGGAACCCGCCCTCCCCGCTGGCGTGAGAGGGGGGGGGGGGAGGGAGGCGGGGCACGCACGCACTCACGAACGAACGAAGCCACGAATCTCGCTAATCGTGATTTTTTTTTCTCTCGTTGCAGGTGAAGGGGCAGGTGACGAAGTGGAGGCCAAGAGAGGAAAAGGAGGAGGAAGAGGAGGAGAAGGAGGAGGAGGAGGAGGAAGAAGACACCGGGGTGCCAGGAGGAGGACGAGAGGCTCCCCCTCCTGCATGCCCATCCGTTCTGCCGTGATGGAGGGAACTTCGGGTCAGCGGGTCGGGGCGAAGAGGAGGAGGAGGAGGAGGAGGAGGAAGAGGACGATGATGATGATGAGGAAGAGGAAGAGGAGATGGAGGAGGAGCTCGAGAATGGAGTTCCAGACCAGCTTCTACTCACGGGACAGTGGAGGCTGCGCGATCTGGAACCGCAGTGGGACAAAAAACGACGTTGCTTGGACCAAACGTTTCCACGCGTGTGGGAGGGCATGCGTTGTGGATGATTATGCAAAAAAACGTTTAATTCTTCTTAGTGGATTATGATTGTGCGAGAAAGCTTTTGAAAACTGTTGCGTTGACCCTTTCCCGAGAGGAGCTGACCCAGAGGTTACCCGAACACTTGGTGAAAAAAAAAGTGATTGACCTGCATTCGGACAGTTGACATTGGATCATGTGTTTGGTGCTTAAAATATAAAAGAATATTAGTGAGAAATATAAACACGCAGTTTTTTACGATGGAAAGGAGAAGGAAAAAAAAAAATATGAAAAAAAAAATACAAAACAAAAAAGTGTGCTTTTATTGGGACGCAGTTAACCTGAAGTGTGAAAAAAATAGAAAATGAAATTATTTTTTTTTCTCTTAGCGGCCACACTTCAGGCACCATTTGCAAATGCAGCGTGAATTTATATAGACATTTGCACGCTTTTGTATTAGCTTCACAAATATCCAAGAAGCAAGAGAGGTAGAGAGAAACCCAAGAATATTGGGGTAGTGTTTTATATGTATAACAAAACGAGTGATTTTACAGTGCTATAAGTAGGTTCTATATTGAATGAATGTCTATATGTTTATGCGTTGTGTGTAAACAATATTGTGTGCTGCAAAGTTGTATAATTTTTGAATAATCATCTATTCAAGTTTATTCACGTTTTCCTCTTCTGTTGTTTTCTCTTTTGTTTTATTGTTTTATCACTCGTTTTCCACTTCTTGTTTTTTTCCTTCTTTTTTGTTAGTTTCCTCTCTTTTTTTTTTTTAGTTATATCCTTCCCTCATTATTTTCCCACTCTTCTGTTATATTATTTTTTTCTTATGCATGACGGTGGCATACAGTAACTATAGTTTGATGGTTGTTTGTGCAGTCTGTAGCGAGATTTGAGTGCTTATAAGAGAATGCTAAAACATAATAAGTGTATTTGTTGTTTATGCACTTTTATCAACATTGCATTATCCGTAATATTATTATTTTTTGTGGAAGTAACTGACAAGTCCTTTTTCCGTTTATTATATACTATTTATATACCATTTGTAAGAATAAAGCTATGCGTGGTTCTTATTGAAAGAAGAAAAAACACAAAAAAAACGTGTAGACTTGAACTAATCACACAAAAGATTTTTTTATAAGAAGTGTAGACCATTTTTATATTATTTTTTTGGTTTTGAATAGACTGGAGACATTGGAACTGACAAAAAACGTCGAACGTACTAAGGATATGTATATACAAAATAAATGACCGACTCCAGCACTGACCGAAAGAGAGAAGAAGATTAAGAAGAAGGAGCAGGAGCAGGAAGAGAAAGGAAGAGAGAATAGAAGACAATAAAAAAAAATGCTTTAGTAATGACTAGGGGACGGAGGACAGGAAGGTTCTTGCAGGAGGCATTCTTAAAGAGCATACGAGAAGTAGCAGAAAGGAAGAGATAGAGAGAGAAAGAGAGAGAGAGAAGGAGAGGCATAGCTTGGAGAATGTCTGGTATGTGTCGTAAAGAAAGGGATGTTGACGACCTTCTTCTGTTTCTTCGCCCCACTTCGATGTAGCACTTTCTTGACTCCAGGCCATCGGCGTGGGGGAATGGGGGAATGTAAAGAAGGGTTTTCGTAAGAGGGGAAACAAGGGGAAAGGAAGGGAGTGCGATTGGCAAGAAGCTGCATGTTTGGGCTTCAGATTCGCGAGATTGAGAAACAAGGATGATAAAGAGAGAGAGAAAAAAACACTTAGATATTCGAGGTTGATTGAGAGATGGCGAAGACGTCGATGGCCTGAAGTCACTTAAGTGTTGGTTATATTTTATTTTATTCTGACAAGAAATGGACGCGATGTGGAGTGGAGCCTATATTTTTTCCTGCTTTATATGCTCTCGGCACGGTGGAACCTGGGAAATCCTGGTTCAGAACGCAAATAGAGAGCGATTTATTCACAATGAACACGCAGCAAAGTCTCTTGAACATGACCATAGAGATCTTCAAAAAAAAAAAAAGGGGAGCGTGGGAAAGAAATGCCAGTCTATGACACTTATTGCCACCTCCCCCACCCCCCTCTGCAACAACCTGCAACCGACTGGAAAGCGAGAACAGGATTTCCAAGGCTTCACCCCGTATTTTCATCACAGTACATAAATGTTCCACACCAAAGTTCACACATTTTTATATAATATAGTTTATGTATATTTTCTTTGAACCAGTGATTTGTTTTCTCTCTCTTCTCCCATTTTTTTATAGACATGTACACCTCAGGAATTTATAAGTAAGTGAACAGCATTGCCCTTCTGTGTACCACTATTTTAAACCTTGCTTCATTTCAAATTGGTTGCCACCCAAGCAGGTTGGCAGCCCGGCAGGAGGGGCTGGGGGGCTGATCACCCCTCCCCCCCCTCCGCCACAAGTCAGTGATCTAGTTTTCTAATTAAATGTATATGAAACCAGTGGCTGTGTTTTATTTGGTCCGCCTCCTCCCCCTGTGTGTGTGTGTGTGTGTGTGTGTGTGTGTGTGTGTGTGTGTGTGTGTGTGTGTGTGTGTGTGTGTGTGTGTGTGTGATTTGAAAGTGTTGGAGACAAAGATGAAATTTTGAAGATCATTTAATTTTGTTTTTGTCTTTTATTCCTTGGTGAATGTATGAGAACCAGAGATAATTGTTTTGAAAGGAAGAAGAGAAGAAGAAGCTATATGATGAATTAAATATTTTTAATACCGCATCACATTTGCAAAAAATATAGTTCCAAGGTCAAAGATTATTTGCAAACAACACATAGAGTAATTAGCAAATAACAAATAGAGAAAATTATCAGCAAATAACATCTAGGGGGATAATTAGCAAATAACACTTACAGGAAATACCAAAACAACTATTGTCCTAGATTTACATAAACAATTACTGACAGATTGTTAAAGGTGGACCTTGAAACGACCTTGAACAGTGGCTTGCAGTGAAGATTATGACTTATATGTTACGTCCTTTGTATTTATATACTTATATAGGTCTTCCACACCCGGCTCGCACTAAAAAGAAATAATAATGATAAGAAGAAATTTAAAAAATCTTGGTTTTTATGTGATGAGATGAGAATAAGTCAAACTGAAAAATCTTGGTCTCTGTTCATCTATTTTGGAAAACTAATGATAATGAGGG